CCCCCCCCCCCAAAATGACAGAAAGACAGTAGCAGAAAGTCAGGCTGCACAGCTTGTTCCATAGGAAGTGTTACAACTACGAATAGATTATTATGCTTTTCTCTGGATGTGTTTCTTTTCCTGTTTCCTCTAGTTCTTTCATACAATTTAAAAATATCTTCAAAATGTTTGACCAATTCATTCCATTTAAGACATTTAAAAACTGAAACAACTTTCATGGTTAACATTTGCATCACTGCAAAATCTTAAGAAATCAAACAGTGACTTGTATCTTTTTTTAAAAAACCCAGAAACAAAATACAACCTTTAGGAGAAATGTAGAAAAATACCCTTAAGTCAGACTCTCTATATGTTCTAGTTGAAATAAAACACTGCAAGAATAAATGGGGCAGTTTCCAGTGCCTCACGCAACAGCTAAAGCATACACAAAATTATTCAAGTCATTTATTTTACCATTTTATCAAATACAACAATTAGGGCTAGGGCTAGGGCTAATAATAGGGTTTTCTCAATTTTGTCCAATTTCAGAGCCAAGATTTCAGTTCGTCGGTCAAATATCAGACGAAGCCACTATTTCCCTTTCCAGAAATAGAGTGACTGAAAAGAGTTATCTACAACTTGGGTGACAAATCAATTTTTTAATTGGTCTTAAATATAAACCAGCATTCTTGGCTAGAAATCTTTTGTATTGGCTCTTGCTGTAAAAAAATTTCAAGAGAGAGAAAATGAAGAATAGCTGGGTGCTTTTGGATAGCTGCACACAACCATGGCAACTTCTATCTGGCACATAATTCTAGCATATCTTGGGTCATTCAGTGAAGCAGCAAAATAAAATCAGAGTGGAGTGATCAGTATGTTGACTTGCTCACAATCAGAACTGACAAAGGCAGACATAAATCAACGACTGAATCAACTGTTTATAAATCTCAAACAGTGTTCGGTTTGCATCAGCTGCATCTCCACTGATATTTTCCATAAATGAATCTGCTGATAGAAAGCTTTGCTGCCACTTTCAAAATAATAATATGCATGATTAATACCATCCATCACGAGGTAAACAAGTAAGCAGCAAGGAAACTAATCAGTTCTGTGGCAAGTTTTAAACTAACATAATGTCCCATTCTGCAATAAATTTGAATCAATCCTCAAATGTTCTCTGTCTTTTAGGTTTGAAACATTCCACACTTCCTTTGTCATTATTCAGTATTACCGCATTGAACTGTGGGCCAAAATTAGATTTTCTTGAGGGCTCCACTGGGAGTGACATCAAAGATGAAGAAGTAAGGGCCTGATCTCAGTTGCTTGGTCAGAACAGAAAAGACAGGGACATCTTCCTTAGCAATGTGGAAAAACAAAGAAAGGGATGAGGAAGAAATTTAGACAAACACCTAGCTTTTCAAGTGTTTCAAGAATTTATAATTGTTTCCACTATGATGCCACTAAAATAAACATAGGTTTACATGTTTCTGTTTTCCACATTTTTTAAAAAAAAAAAATTATATTCTAAACCCTCTCCATATGTACCATCGTTCCATGCACTTTCCATCTTTAAATGCTCCCTGATGGAGAAATCTCCCTGAACACAGGAAACTGATGTGTTACAGGGAGGAGACTAATCTAAAACCTTCCCCCAGGATGTCAGTTTTTGGATGTGGAAGGAAATTTTCACAGAGGAAAACATTCAAATGAGCACTTTCCACACCTTGTCTGAAATGAGACTCCTCAGTATGAATTTACCATGTAATTCTCCTCCTTGTGTGTTTCATCTTATGCTACAGTAGTGGAACAAACTGTAGGTGATGAAACTGCTTTTTGCATCCGTATTAAAAGGGTGGAAGCCCTTTCTCATTCTGATTTCATTAAGCATAATTCCTGATCCTCTAGTCCTCAACTCATTTTTTTGTATCAGTTCTAATTGTTTCCCCTTTATACTTTTACATATGTTTCTTCAGACAAAGTACTGAGCAATTTCTCTGCCTAAATCATGGATTGTCAGAGTGAATTATGCAAAGAGCTAGTATGTCATCGCTGGGCTGGCAGCAGATTTCTGAGAACACTGACAGTGATGGCATCAGGTGGGAGGGGTGGCTAGTGGAAAGGAAAATGGTGGCAGTGGCTGAAGACACTTCTTAGTGCCTGACTAATCTTACTGGCCTGTGTGGCTGGCACCAAGGACAGGAAGCAATGCAAGGAAGGCAAGGAACCATTCAAGGCTAAGATGCAAAGTAGCCACCATTACAGCAGAATGTTTCTGGACTCTGGGATGACAAAGATGGTGCAGCTCCATCATCCAGTGTTTTCTGTTGAGAGGAAGAAATCAAAAGAAGGCTCTCATGGGCCTTCAGACCCTGGCATTCATCCTGTCACACCAGGTTCCAGCACAGGGCCTGTATCAAAAAAAGTCTGTTACGACTGAACGACAACATATCTTCATTGCACATACCCTGGCATTTTGGTGCCACAGACAAAAGCCCTGTTTATGGGCATTAGAAAACCAGTTTCTTGAATGAATTTAGAGAGGAATGCCTGCAAAAGTTGGATTCCTGCTTGAATGTAGGGCCTGCACATAAATGAGAACCTTCCTCTTCCACCTATGTCATGAGGTGAAGTAAGTGACAAATGGTGGAGGAAGGAAAAAAAAAACCCTTCTCTCAGCATGTTCAAGAACCTGGTAATTCTAACACCTGGATAGGGCAGATGTCTTTTAAAAGTTTGAGGGGATGTTCGCATCTCAATCCACAGCTTCAAATTAAGGAACACCTCCTGAAGAACAAATTCTTTCATCATTCCACTTCTTCCTGGTCTGGTAATCCTAATGCTTTCTCCTGGAAAGAAAGAAAAAACTGATTCAGTAGGATTCACTCATTTCTAGATGCTTTGGTATTTACCGTGGAAAAAGATTCCCATGTCCTGGACTGAACAAGGAGACCAAATGCACACCTCCTGCTTCATATCAATTCATACATAGTTTGTCACCAATCAGATCAGAAATATCCAGCTAGCTGTCTAAAGGAGGCTTTCTGTTTCTTGAACCCATTAAAATACAGTAGGACCCACAAAACATGGATGACGAGTTTAGCTTAGTGAGACACATGAGTTGTGCATTAATGAATTAACAGAGCTCTGGCATACTGTTTTCCTGAACATAAAGAGAAGATCTCTTTCCTAAGTCAATGAACTGTATTTATTTATATTTTATTTAATACATAACAAATTAATTATTATACATAAAGGTGATCCAAATGATAAAAGATCTGGAAATAAAACCCTATGAAGAACAGTTGAAGGAATTTGGTATGCAGTGGTACTTCGCAAGACGAAATTAAACCATGCCTCGCAAAATGAAAAAGTTGTTTAGCAAGGCACGGTTTCCCACAGGAATGCATTGAAATTTAATTAATGTGTTCCTATGGGAAAAAAGAGTCCAAAACAAAAAAAAAATTAAAATAAAGTCACTTACCAGACTGAGCCCGGCTCCTCACACTGCCTTGGTAGCCCCAAAAAGCAGGAAAAAGAGTGCCAAACAACTGAGAGCCCAGACCCAGCAGGGAGGCAGCAGCGATTTTGTGCTCTTCTCTGCTCCTGCCCCTCCTCCCTGCCTCACAGCTGATTGGCACTGGGTCTTAGAAGCTTTCCCTGAGCTTGCCCAGCACCGAAAAAGAGCTGGAATTAGCTCCCCCGCCCCCCCCCAACGGCTTTCAGAGGCTTCCCCGGGGACAGGGGGAATACACAATTTTTTTATTTCTAGCTCTTTTTCAGTGCTGGGCAAGCCTGGGGAAGCCTCTAAGACCCAGCGCCGATCAGCTGTGAGGCGGGGAGGGAGCGGAGAAGAGAACCAAAATGGCTGACGCCTCCCTGCTGGGTCCAGGCTCCGATGGTGCTGGTAAGACTGGCGGGGGACCTTTGAAAGGGGCGCTGTGAAGCAGGGCCATAGGAACGTTCATCTTGCGAGGCACCAAAACCCTAGCCAGACCCATTCATCTAGTGGGTTTTTCGTGCCGCGAGGCGTTCGTCTTGCGAGGCACCACTGTATTTAGTCTCTAGAACAGAAGACTGAGAGGTGATCCATCTTCAAGTATCCAGAGGGTTGTCATGGGGGAGATGGAGCAAATTTGCTTTTCCAGCTCCAGGGTAGTTGAATCCATAATCGAGGAATGGATCCAAACTATAAGAGTGACAATCTCTACTAAACATTAAGAAGAACTTCTTGATAGTAGAACAGACTGACTTGGGAGGTCGTGGATTCCTCTTCACTGGAAGTTTTTAAGTGTAGGTCCTGCTTCTGGCAGGGCACTTGTGTTCAATGACTTTGGGGTCAATTTCAGCTCTACAATTGTATGATTGTATGTATATAATTCAGAGTTTATTGGTGCAGCTAAAAATGACAGAGGAACATTGTATGCAGTCTAAGCCATTATAGGAATACCTTGCTTTAAGCAGCAGTGGTGAAAACTCTGTACCTGCTGCATTCACCATTCAGAGTGGAAAGGCAGTTTGGTTTTAGATGAGAAACAGAAGGCTCTTGTTTGGTTACTCCCTCCAAATTTTCAGTTTTTCTTAGGTCAGTAGTGAGTAACCTATGTTCCTTCAGATGTTGTTGAACTGCATCTCACATCAGCCCTAGTTAGGGCAGCCCATGGTGAGAGATGATGGAAGCTGTAGTGTAACAATATCTAGAGAAACATGGTGTCCTACCCCTGCAAGTCAAATGAAAAGATGACACAGAGCCTCTTTTCATACTTCAAAGATGTAGCCGATAACCAGTAAGGTGGTATAATCTGTCCCCTGCCAAAAGGAAATGAGCACCTCAGTTGCTGTACTATTATGACCAATTGTTGGAGGACATTCAAGGAAAATGGAAGAGAAAGTCTTGGCAGGCTATTTGATCTCCTCAGATCTCACAAAGAGTGTCAAGAAAATGAGATCAAGGATTGGGCAACTCTACTCCTTTCAGCCAGCCTCAATGGCAGTGCTGAGCAACTCACAGTATACTCCTAGATGGACGCACATAATGGACCACACCTACATTACCCATTTGAGTCTTACAACTTACTTACATTTAATTTTTTTAAATAAGATGTACCCTAGTTCATCTGTTATAAGAACACAAGAAGAGCCCTGCTGGATTAGACACTCAAAGGCCTATCAGGTCTACCATTCTGTTCCCCCAGTGGTCAGCCAGATTATTTTTTGATCAAAAAGGTAGTATGCCTCCCCAACGTTCCCTCTAAGTTGCCCAGGCGTGTGGTCGCACAATGCTGCATTGACACTGCACACCCATAACCAGTGTTGCCACCCATTTAGTTCCAGTTGCAGCTGAGACCTCCCACATTCTTGTAGGGCCCTCCATCCAGCACTGGCAGAACATTAGAGGGAAGGTTGGCTCTCTCTCCCATGAAAGCAGTAATGGAAATAACACTGAAGGTGATGTCTCCATAATAACTGCTAGCCATTAGTTGTTTTATCCTCTGTGAATTTGTCTGTCATTTAGAGTAATCTGTGCTGGCAGATGTCATGGCTTCACCAGAAGGATTGGAGCATTTGTAGAAGAAGGAATAACTGTACCCATAATGTACATGAGAAGTTTGCAGACCAATATTGTTTTGAAGGAAGATCAATATGCAGAGGAAATGCGTTTTCTTACCCATCCCCCTTGGCTGTTGATCCAAGGGCTAAAATGATCCTTGAGGTATTTTGTTCCAAAGCCAAGCACAATGTTCATGGGATGACTGCCCAAAACACTAAGTCTCGCTGTGACCTCCATCGCAAGAGCAATCTTGGTCCTTTGAACATGGATCTCAGAGTCCATTGTGGAGCCTGCTGCGAGAGCATCCCCTAGGAACTGGTTGGTTACTCTCCGATAGAATGTATAGGACATCAGGTCTAAGATGCGTTGAAGAAAACTCTTATCTTTTTCAATCTGGAAATTAAAATGTAAGAAATTGCAATATAAGATTGTTTTGAAATATAGTAAAACTGAACAAAGTGTTCATATGCATGCACATACACCATCCGACTGGATAACTGCATAGCTGACAAGAATTTCTACTCTACTATTTCAGCACGCGTAATGCACTTGTGTCTTTCTGATCACCATGTGTGTGTGTGAAAGCTGGACAGTTAAGAAAGCTGTCAGGAAAAAAAAACAGATTAATTTGAAATGTGGTGCTGGAGAAGAGCTTTACAGATACCCTGGACTGGCCAGAAATTAAATAAGTGGATCTTAGATCAAGTGAAGCCTGAACTATTTCTGGAGGCAAAAATGTTGAAACTGAGGCTGTCCTACTTTGGACAAATCTTGAGAGACAGGATTCTTTGGAATAATGCTGGGAAGGGCAGGAGGCAGCAGGAAAAGAGGAAGACCAAATACAAGATGGTATGACTCCCTAAAGTAAGCCACAGGCTTGAGTCTACAAGAGCTGAGCAGGACTGTTGAGGACAGGACATTTTGGAATGAGGTTGCTCATTCATAGGGTTGTCATAAGTCAGAGGTAACCTGGTGGCACATAGCAACAACAACATAATACATATATCCAGACAAAGCAGTCTTACGCTACCTTTAGGACTTACTTCATTTTAGCTGCATGTCTATGCAAAAATATAAATGTCAGATGTTCCAACTGGTTACATCCAGCTGTCAGTACCACCTAGAGTAGACTGACTGAATCAATGAGACTTACATGAGAGTTGACTCACCAAGCCCCCACTGATTCTATATGACTATTCTATAATAGTTTGATTATCCCCAGAAGTCCCACTCTCCCAACTGCTCTGGTAGAAATGCATTTCCACCAAACATGCCTTTTTGAAGTCACAGGTCACCTTGTGAACCTGTGTGAAAATACTTTCAGATGCTCTGATCTTAACAGATGCCCCCCCCAAAAAAATCATGCTACATGTTTACCTGTCTCCACCTTGTGGCACAAAAAAATCCAACTGTTTTGATCTAATTGACAGTTCTACTAAGACTATTTTAAGAATGACCTATTTCTCTGTTATTGGGGTGGGACACTTTATTTTCTAGATGAAGAGCATGCCCACTTACTATACCTGTTGTAAGTTAATGTCAGAGAAAGATTTCTGTCCTAGCTCCTGCTCTTAAAAAAAATTATGCCCCTCTGTTCCCACAGGCCTTGTATTCTAAAATCCTTTCTAGAAATGCAGTCTAAAAAAAAAGATAGCACTCAAAAAAGTGCAAAATGTTGACTTTAGGATTTATAGTCTATAAAAAGCAACTGTCCACCAAAATGGCAGAGCTGGGATGATTACTTTTAAAATTAGAATCAGTACAGTTACTCATATTTCCCACCTACAGGCATAGCCTGTTACAATTACTTGTGACTCAATTTTTCCTACAAAACAATTACACTATCAGAACCTTAAAAGATAAGGAAGTAGGCTTTAAAAAAAACTAAAAATGTCCCCAAAAGTAACCAGAAAAAGTAATGAATAACCAGTGCTCACTACATGAAAAAAGTAGATAATGGCTGAAATCCAACTGCACTTGGCATAGGATAAAGTTACACCTGCAGAATTTTGCTGGGAATTACATCCAGGCAGTCTACATTACATGCCTGATTGCATAGTTGCCTGTGCCACTAGTTGCGCAACTGCACTTGTAAAGTGGCTTACTGGGTATGACTTGATGTGGATTTTGCACAGCTAGTATGACTCTGAGTTATGCAGGCATGGATAAGCAACAGGATTTTGGCCAGGATCACACTTTCCTTTTTTCACCCGTAAGGATTATTATTACATTCATACTTCCTCAAAGAACAGCATATTATGAGTAATGCTGTTATTTGTAACACTTTGTTTCCAGCCTCTGCCAAATTTGTTACCTTTGTTTGCAGTTCATCTCCTGATTTTCTTAAGAAGGCAACTATTGTGTTTATTATCTTTTCTTCATCATCTGGTAAAAAGACAGTTTTAACAAAAAACAACAACACATTAATTAAAAATCGTGATTAAAAATTAAAAAATGCATTAAACTATTCTGAAAGCAGCACACACAAATCACCAATAGGATTCTGGCCATTGTTAATGATTTAATACACATAGTTAAAAATATTTATGTAACATTTCCCCAAAGATGCTTACTCCTATTATTTCAGTCATGTTTTTAAAAAAAAGGTGACACAGCCCCACTGGCACCAAGAAACTCAGATGGAGAATGCTGGGTGACAATAAAGAGTAGAAAACATGGAAATTCAACCCAATGGGCACACTTCACCGGCAAGCTTCCTTGGCGCCCTGCTGAAAAGCAGGAGAACATCTCAGCCAATTGAGTACTACTCTGAAGAAACATCTTTTGTTCATACCTCATTTCTGTTACACATATGTTTGCACAGTACATCATGTATATCAACAGACTGATCTACTACATTACATTATTACATAGAGAAACCTATTGGCAGGATGGCACCAAATGGATTTTATGATTCACCATCTCACCCTTCCTTGAGCTAGTCCCGCTTACAGTACCCTACAATGAATCCTATTAGTTACACAGAGACAGTCCAGCCAAAGCTGCAAACAAAACTGTAAGAACGGAGGCACCACATGCAGATTTCATGGTATCATGGGGCTTTCTGTATTATTTTCGAGTTTGACTTTGTTCCTTTCTTTGCATTTCTTTTAACTCACCATGCTGGCATTTTCACTGTGCCTCTAAGATGCTATAAGCAGCTAATAGCCTGAGCAATTATAGCCAACCTAGCGCTGATTGATAATCTATAAATGCTGAGATTTTGATGTGAATATGTATTAAATATAAACGTTGTACAGTTAAATGTAAAATGGCTGATTTTACCTATATTTCAAAACAATCTTATATTGCAATTTCTTAATACTGTTTGTAGTTACCAAGGTTTCAGATATAATGTTGTACAGCTGTGGCACATGATTAAATTTTGTATAGCCGAAAATGAAGTAATGTATTTTCTGGTTGGTCCCAGAACTGTACATAAGTCATGTGTAAAGGGGAAATTTTATCTGCTGTAAGTCAGATCACTTTTTTCCTATGCTATGTGTTGTATCATGTCATGTTATGCTGCCAGATGAATGTCTATTCTCTATGTATATATGTAAATAGACTAAGTTGATATTTTACTCTCTCAGTTTCATAGTGTCTATGAAAACTAGTATCTCCTTATTCTGCTAATGTTATGAGAACAGACGTTAAACCAAAATTCTCAACAGGGTCATGCACCCAGATGAGATTGTTTTTCAAGCAGATAAGAGGAAAAGCCTCACTACTAGTTCAAGTTACTAGGTAGCTTGTAACTAGCTATTTTCATGGTCTGCTGTAGAAAGTTCACCAAAATCTACTGTAGTTTGGTTGTTCTGGGTTTTTCGGGCTCTTTGGCCGTGTTCTGAAGGTTGTTCTTCCTGACGTTTCGCCAGTCTCTGTGGCCGGCATCTTCAGAGGACAGCAACCTGTGCTCTGGTGTAGTTGGCTTGGGAGTGCAGTATTTATGGCTGTGAGACAGGCTTTTGTCTTTTCCTATAGATGGGTGATTAGTGTATACAGTGGTGCCCCGTATAGCGAGGTTAATCCGTTCCGGATTAACCTTCGCTATACGAAAACATCGCTGTGCGGGTAAGGAAAGCCTATTGGAACGCATTAAACTTAGTTTAATGCGTTCCAATAAGCGTCCAAACTTACCCCTCCAACGATGTTTTCGCGTCCGGCGGCCATTTTGGAGCCCGCCGAACAGCTGATCGG